CTGAGTAATTCTGATAAGATGCTTTCCGATTTGAAAGTCCATTATTCCCAACAGGAATAGTTCGATGTTTCTTCCTCCAGTTTTGAAGCCATGCTGATTTTATTCCATTGCAGCCTCTCAATAAATATTCAGCGTATTGGTTGAATACATAAAGGAAGAATATACTCCCTTGTCTCATTCCTTTGCTGACCTGGAGCCAGTCTGATTCACCATGTTCCAACCAGACTGTTGCTTTCTGTGCTGTGTGTAGGTTTTACATAGACAACAATAATGGTAATACCATATTCTACAAGTGATTACACAGTACTGTGCTTTGTCTTTAACGTATAGTACTGTATAATGGTTGTTTAGTCACTTCCAAAACTTTGCAACCTCATATACATTTTGCCAAGACTGTCTGCCAGTAACTGCTTCACTGAGTTCTTGTGGTTACTGTCAGCTTAACAAAGTAAATTTGTGCAGGATATAGACATGGAGAACACACACTAGTAAGCAGAGCTTTATTGTAAGAAATCACCAACATACTCAGTAGACACTGGAGAATATAAATGTATTGAGGGTGCTTTGTATACTGCTTGGACAATGCGTATCATTTTCCAAATGAGAAGACATAATTGATTTTCTGATGTTTACGTGGCTTGATTGACAATCTTAGCTTGGGCATATTCACTTGCATTACCTGGAGACTCTGTGAAAAATCCTGTTTGTGCTGGCACTTCATGGAAATAGAGTTAATGTTCTACAGGGTTTTTAAATTTGGGGTAAATATTGTACATCAATTCTGATATTTTCTTATCTGAAAATGAAACTGATAGCATCGGATCAGCCAGTAGAGTTCTAGAAATGTTGGCTCTGATGGCTTTTTATTTATAACAAAATTGTGAGGCTGTCTGGTAGTTTTATATTCTGGACCTCTTTTTATATCAGCCACTGAGTTATAAGTAAGGTGTATGTATTTTTCAATTTTGTATAACAATAAAAATAGAGGATTTGGTATTATTAATATTAATTTTATATAATTATTCATAACATATATCTCACCTTTCTGCTTGTATGTATATTCAAAGCAGTTTATAACAATTATTACAAAATACAAAATGTAAACTCAATGTAACTGAAATTAAGATTAAAAACATTCTCATTCAAATCAATTATCTGTTAAAAGCTTGGTGAAAGAGATGTGTTTTGAGATATATCTCTGCTATTTCTCTAAATTTTATGTCTCAACCTTAGCAACTTTAAGATATGCTGGCTGGGAAATTCTGGGAGTTGAAGTCCACACATCTTAAAATTGCTAAGGTTGAAAAACACTGCTCTAAATAGTGGGAAAGTAAGGGGCAAATGTACCTTCCTGGGTCTTGTGAGGTTTTATATTATTTTATGTTTGTATTTTGCTGGGGCAGGATTGTGAAACATTCTTGGGAATGCATGTTTATGTTGATTGTCTGTATAGTAGATATCAAAGGAGATCTTCTATTTCAGATTTCTTTTTCTGGTTGAAGGAATGCACAGTTTTAAGTCTGGTCTAAAGATAAAGAAGCTTTAAAGGGGGAGCATTATGGGCCATTCTAAAACTGTCCTCACCTGGCTGAACTATGGAGTTATCAGGGCCATAGTTTACCAAGTCACAATTTGATTGGTACTGCAGAATATGGTTTGAATAATCCATAGTTGGTACAAAATATGAAAAGTGAGAATGAGCTTGCGAGAATGAGCTCACAAGAATGTACTCTTTGCAATCTGGGCAGGATTCAGTAATCAAAGTTCATTACATCTGTGTTGATACATCTGTATTTATAAAAGTCAGTGAAGTGTTGCATTGTTATCTTATATTACTTTAAGTAAACCAAAAATGAAAACTCCCATCCCTACTAAAAATTCAGGAAAGGGTTTCTTCTTTCCTTTCCATCTTCTGTACAATTTGCAAGCTACTTGAGGCTGAAAGATAATGATGGACTCAACATCATTTAGCAGGCTTCATGGCTGTACTCCAGGAGTTGGGATTTGCACTCAGATTTTCATAGTCTTAACCTATGACCATTATTGCCTGCCAGCTTTTAATGGACAACCGCACAGATGGCTTTATTTTAGATTCTTTCTCATTTTCTGCACAGTAACACTTCTGTTTGTCTGTTTTTCTTTCCTCTTTCCCTTCCCAGTTAATGAAATTATCAGGAAAGAGTTTTCTGGACTCCCTGCCAGAAGTCAGACATAGAAGATGAGGTTTGTGAGACAACTTTTGCAGAATTCTTCCGTACCTGACTTCTTAGGCTCTTCTGTCCCGCCTGCCTTTTGTTTCCTCAGCTGATCATCTCAAGGCACCAGTTCAACACCAGGAACAATGCACTGGTATCCAGCTGACAATTTTGAGTAAGCCACTCAGCACCTCTCACTGTAAACATTAAACAAAACTCTCTTCCTTTTGTCCAAAGATCATGTAGTTCTCATGTAACCTTGCAAGTGCCTGACACAGTTTATTGAGATGTCTACGGATGCATCCATGGACTGTAAACAGCAATGCAGAAAAGGGGCATCAGTCCAGAAACTTGGATTGAACTGAAGCATGGTTGTGTATGTGAATGCATGTTAGGGATGCTGGATGAATTTTATAATTGCCAACTCAATAAAAAAATAATGAGCTAGGTTTCTCCAATGGTCACATACACAGCCAGAAACAAAAATTAAAACTTCCAATACTCAAGCATTGAACCCCCCAAATGTAAGAGAACAGATCTGCATATGCAACATTATTTTTGCTCTTTTCCAAACAGAAGCATGACTGTTACTCTGCAGTTTCACAGGTGTTTAAAAAAAACAAAAAACTTGCAGTGCAACAAGGAGGCTGCTGCAATGGAGAATGGGTGAAAATCATTTGATACGGGCACAGCTTCTTGTGAAAATGTAAGGTAGCTTTATGGATTGTAGCTTTGCTCTGTTCCGAGATGCACCAAATGTATCTTTGCAAAGATGTATCTTTACTGTGTTCTTAAGATGCACCAAAACCATATTTTCTCTGCTGTGGACCAGAAAGTATATAAACTCAAAACACAATGCAGCCAACAATTAAGTTTTCTTAAAGCCTACCAATATCAGCAGAAGAGAGTTGAATTTATACTTGAAACTCTGAAATTAATGTTAAAGTTAAAATATTTTAACTTTGGTTGGAGTATGCATTCTATTTTTTAAAATTCCTTGGATGCAGCATTTCACTGTACAGTGTACAGAATTGAAACTGATTTATTTTAGATTCCTTCCTATCCCTACGAATAACGCAATGTTTTTTAAAAGTAAAACAATCATCTCAACTTGAATTGGAAACTGCTTCTATGGTTTTACAGTGGGAATTTTGCAGATCCATCAAATCTTTGAATTCATGGTAAAAATCACAAAGATGACATAATTACATTCATAGGAAATGTGAGATGCTGAGTAACTTAATTGGTTAACCAAAGAAATGTGAGATGAAGAGTAACTTAATTGGTTAAAGCACGTAGGGCTTTTAGTGTTCATTCTAGCAGCTACCAAAATGCCCAGAAATCTCAGAGTCCCTTTTTATTTGTGCTGTAACAAGGTGTTTTCCCTCCAGAATGTTAATTTTTTTCCACCAAGGACTATCACCGTGTATCCAGCAGTTAGATGTTGTTTCTCTCAAAGTTCTGTTGCAAGAAGAAACCACAGTACGCTTTTGCTCAGTAGATGTGGTAGTCTCTTTCCTTCATCCCTTGCAAAATTAAAACTAGATGAGTCTAGATAAATCACATGGTACAACTTGTTTGGAACTGCATAATTTTCAGACTACAGTTGGGAAGGTGGCAACTCTGCCACATGTTTTAGCAGCACACCTAGACTTATCCACACGCCATCAAATAAGGTTCTTAAAGAACTAATAAAACTTGCTAAATACTGGCTAACAATTGAATTCTGGCTTCTTGGGTGTAGTGGATCCTAATGTATAAGTTTATAAATGGGCATAGAAAGTAGGACTCGTAGTAGTACATTTGCAATATGTTTATCTATGCAATGCAAGAAAATATAGCTACTTAGCTACAAATTATGGTGGAAAAGCACCCTTGCAGATGATCAAGTTAGAAATTATTAGATCCATCATTATTCAGTGACTTTCAATGAAAGTTAGTGAAAATTGGGAGTTCTGCAGTTTCTTTTTAAGAATATGCCAATAAAGAAACAACTATTATATTTGCCTTCCCCCTCCCCCCCCCCCATTTTTGGTGTAGGAGCCAAAAAGCAGTTAAAGGTGATCTTGTTTAGCAAGGCACGTTCTTACATCAAGATTAGCAGGGACAAACATTTATAACAAGTCTGTCACTTCAAATAATAAACAGCCCCCATGCGACCCCTGCATTCTAATATGTAGACTATCACCAAAAGATTTTGTTTGTTTAAAAGATCACATTGGAAACTCAGTGTATCACTCGGTTTCACTTGATGCATAAATATGATTCAAGTTCATTGTGCAAATGACCATCAGGGTGAAATTAGATACTGTCATAGCTTCATGGCCCCTTATTCTCAGTATCCTCAACTGTAAAATAAAATATGTACCTGAGAAATTAAATGTATGGTTGCACATGGCAGGATATTATAACAAACATTATACTAAATATATAGTAACAATTTTGCCAAAAATGATGCAACATTCAAACACCTTGTAGAAATTTAACAGAAGCAAAATACTCTAAAGAAGGGAGAGTTGGCAATTATCTCCACTGACTTGCTGTTTATATGTAAATGTTAGACCAGTGTGTTTCAAACTTGGCAACTTTAAGTTGCGTGGACTTCAACTCCTAGAATTTCCCAGCCGTCATGCTGGGAGTTGAAGTCCACACATCTTAAAGTTACCAAGTTTGAAAAATACTGTGTTAAACTGATAATGCATTTCAAGTGTAGAGAAAAGTTGAGTGTTTTAAGTCAGGGAAGAGACTTCAGGCTGTCTGTGGCCAAGTAGCTCTGATAATAACCATTTATTTCCATATTGCCATATATGACAGATAGTCCGCCAACTATTTTATGCTGGCTTGGAAACAGAAACTAGAGGTTTTTCCTTCATCTTTAAATCTGCTTGTCCATATCTCCCTCAGCTTGATTCAAAGAAGTAGGGTGTAAAGGAAGTGATGAAAAGAAGCTGAATTGGGTAGTAGTAAATACAAAAGTAATGTCCTAGTTGCAACCAAGCTGCCTACTGGAAGTTAGGTAAAACTTTTATTATATGAATCAGTTTTCAGTTTTGCTTCAAATTATCCTTTAATGCCAGTCCTTGAATACACTTCATAATTGTTTTAACAGCTAATCCTCAGATGTTTGTCTAGATACCTAGATTTCAGACCACAACTTGGAGTCATTTTTGTGCCAAGTATAAAGTACCAGACAAACTTCCTATTTGAACTTCTTTTCTTGGTTATTGTTCTTCCATGAGAAAACCATCATTTTAGATAAGTTGTTTATCTTGGTCTGCCTAATCTGCAGAGTTTTTTAAGGATGTGATACAACTTGGCTTTGACTTTTAAACTCTGAAACACCAGCTGTAGGAAATAAATCCTTGACAAATGTGGTAGCATTTTTGGATAAAAAGTAAAGTCCCCTTTGAGTTGAGCTTGATTCCTTTGATTCCATGGATATATCCCTATAATTTCCTTGGCAACAATGTGCAAATGATTTGCAATTGCCTTCTTCAAGGAGAGAGAGACTTAATTTCTCAGTCTCGCCTTCAACCTTGCAATTCTTTGCTGGCCTCCCATCCAAGTACTGAGTCTAATAGGGCTTGGTTTCAAGCTTAATTAAGGGGCTGCCCCTTGTTGAGACAGCTTTAAAAAGCCAAAAGAAGCACGTAGATGTGTGACCCAATTTGACATGAGGATATGTTTTTCCAGATCTTTACAATTAATTGGGAAAGTTTGGAGTGGCAGGTTGGTATAGGAGAGTGACAAATCCATAGCTAGGTGGAACTACTTATGCAATTACTTGGATCCTAGGCAACATTTATTTTAAATGTATTGTCGAAGGCTTTCACGGCCGGCATACGATGGCTGGTGTGGGTCTTCCGGGCTGTGTGGCCGTGGTCTTGAAGTCTTGTTTCCT